AAACAGTGCGGGTCGGTGGGCGGGGGTGATTGAGTGTAATGATGCTACATGGAAGTGAGCATGTTAGGAAACTATGTCAGGATTTTGGAAGCAACTTGTCCACATCACTGCTAAATATACGAGAAGTGGTAGTGAAGATTGGCACAGCCAAGTATGAGAAGCACACCGAACACACACGAAGTCTTGTAAACCAAGATAGGACTGGCTCTATTGTCCGACGCTGATGAATATGTTGGAAGGAGAATCTGAGCACCTATGGTTGTGTCCGGAGTGCTGTGAAGATAATCTAACTCATAACTGTGTCAAGTGTTTTTAAATATAGAAATCTGTAAATATATATATTGTGAAGACATATGTGAATGTGAACTTGTGTAAATATATGTTGATGTGAAGATTAGTAGATGTATGTGAATGTGCAGATGTTCAGGTGTATATGAGTGTGAACATGTTTAGATATATGTAACCATGTGTAAATATATGTAACCATGGGTAAATATATGTAAGATGTGTGTAAGTGTGAACATGTTTAGATATATGTAACCATGTTTAAATATATGTAAATTTGTAGATGTGTGTAAGTGTGAACATGTTTAGATATATGTAACCATGTGTAAATATATGTAAATTTGTAGATGTGTGTAAGTGTGGATATGTTTAGATATATGTAACCATGTGTAGTCGGCGTTTTGGCTATGTGTCTTCGTAATCCTGGGGTGCCGGGTTCGATCCCAGCTGCAGGCCTTGCGCCTTGGGTTGGTTTCTACATTTTATTTTTTTTTTTTTTTTGCTTCTTCTTCTCTTCTTCTTCGATCCTTCTGTCAGAAAACTTTTATCCGGAGGTCAGTAGCCTTTTTCTTCTTCTTCTCTTTTTTCGTTCGCCTGAAATAAGTTGTCTATATCAGCAGTTTTGTCTCTTGTATAAATTTCACTGTCGTTGTTAGTTCATTCAGTGGTCCATAGAGTTTACTTTCCACTGTTGTTCTTTCTGGCCAAAAGGTTTGCCTTCATGTGTCAAAATCGGTGCAGTCCTGGAGTACATGCTCTGCTGTCTGGGGCACATTTCCACAGGTACACATGGCTGATACACCTATCTTGAATTTTGTGGACATGTGGTTACGTAATCGGTTGTGCCCTGTTCTGAAGCGGAGGATAATGACTTGTTCTGGTCTGTCCATAATAAAATAGTCGTCTTGTGCTGGGGCTGGTGGTTTCCTGATCGATTTAATGATTCTTTTCTTTTGGTGGTATGTGACTGATACATCCGGCTGCTCTTTTGTCGCACCTTCCCCTGTCAGTTGATCAGCTTTCTCATTTCCAGGCACTCCACAATAAGACGGTATCCACTGCATTACGACTCTTCGCTGAAGGCTGAGTTGTGTCAGCAGTGTTTGCAATTCTGGTAGTTTCCTAGACTGGAGTGCTTCAAGTACTCATTTTGAATCTGTCAGCATTACCACATACTGTGAGCCAAGGTTGGTATTT